AGTATGAAACACATGGTTTGACACACTATATATCTTAGATAATTCCAATCTTGTTTGCCACATCCAAGGCATCATAATCTGGGGTCAACCTAACATATGCCTTCTTAGTTCCATCAGGCCTGCATAAGAATATATGAGTTAATTCAGGATTCCTAACAATTATGTAAATGTTCAGCTTTGCAGAACAATGGACATATGAGTTTGAACCACCATGTAGATATGACAACCATGCACACGAAGCTAAGAAGCTAGAAGGGACCATTTAATGACTAAATCCAAGGTGTATGTTAAACTTGATGCATCAGATTTCGATCCAGGTTCTAAGTTGAAAAGTTTTAAATGTGTCACGAGATTGCAATACTCCTCAATTCTTCTATTTAATGAATACTATAAGAATATTATACTTCTACTCTAATCTGAAACACAATTAAGAATGTGCTCTTCCTCAAACCATATATTTAGAACTTAGAATTGAAAATTTTATAGGTGACCACCCAATATGAACAACAATTAAGAATGCGCTTCTCTTTGTAATTATATCCCAATTAATAATTTTATAGGTAAACCAGCAAACTCACATGTCTAACATAATGGAATTTACCTGATCAATGTATTCACTTTCTTTGTCTGAATGTCATACATCTTCTTCACTGCATCCTTAATTTTCTTCTTGTCAGCACGGATGTCAACAATGAAAACCAAAGTGTTGTTGTCATCAATTTTCTTCATTGCAGACTCCGTAGTTAGTGGATACTTAAGGATTTGATACTGATCCAACTTATTTCTTGTGGCGCACTAATGCGAGGATATTTAGGGTTCTGTTCTTTCTTTAAAGTTTTTGGCCGATGAAATGTAACTTTTGTCCTGATCTTCTTAGCCTTCTTAAATTTAGCTCCAGATTTCACAGCCTTAGCAGCCTTCACTGCTTGAACCTTTGGATCAGCTTTTTTCTTGCTGTCAACTGCAAAAGGTGAATAAAAACTTTTAAATCTAGAAAGTACCACAATAATGACAGTGTAATCCAAAACAATTGTTTGAACAATCAAACTCTCTAACTACAATTGACATTTATATACAAGTTATATTACAAGAACTTAGCCTACAAATCAGTGGCCATCTAATTACATGAGACAGATTGGATACAGTTTAACCCACAATAATCTTAACATATTCTTCCCAAGCTAATGAATGTAAGAAGACAAAATAGGCTAACAATTCCAAATGCAGGTTCCCGTCTACTATGCTGACACTTTTTAGCAAATTAAACAATCAGAACGAGATAAGAAGAAGAACAAGCTACAGACTTTCATCATCTGATTCATAACTTCAAGCAGCAAAGAGAACATGAACACTCAATTCAATACAAGAATTGCACTTTCATCCAACGGAAACAGCCACCTCCCAATACTAAACATCACCTTGAATCAACATTCTCAATCCTATGCCATATCCCAACTGACCCCAAATTACCAACCAAAAACACACAAAGGAAAGAAAGTTTTGCATCCACAACAGATTTCAAAACAACCCTTTTTCTTTATTTACCACCTTCAAAAGCATTTATACACAGCATTGCCAACCCAACTTACCTAATTTCCTCACAAAAAATCTATATTAAAAAGTAAAATGTCTAAAGGAAATTGCTTTTTGCGTTTCTATATTTAATTTCAGCCAAAGAAACAAACTTTGCCATCATATAAACAAAAATCACCATCCTTTAACACAAAAAAAAAAACCCTTACCTTTTGCTGGAGACATTGCTAAAATTCTTACTTCAATAACCTGGGAAGAAAATTTAAAATGCAAAAGATTTCAGAAAAATTTTAGGTACCCAAATCAATGAATTAAAAGACAATCAATTTTCTAAATTTAAACAAATTACATACCCTTTTCAGCAGCTGCAGAGTTGAGGGTTACCTTTCCCAAGTGGAGTAGAAGAAGATGGGGTGGTTTTGTAGTCTTGTAGATTAAGTGAAAATTACCGATTTGACATTGATTTTTTATGGGCTTAGAAAATAGGATTGGATATGGGCCGATTAGTAAGCCCATAAAAGTGATAAATCTCTGACTGTTTAACCCAAATATTGGGCTATGTTGGGATTATTTGGGCCCATTAATGAGTAATGACATAGGATATATATATATATATATATATTTTCTGTTAAGTGAGAGATTGAATTCTAATCATTAAAATTAACATTTCAATATTGGTTTTATTTTATATTAGAGAAAGCAAGTAGGGTTTTGGAGGGATAAGGTCAGGTGATAGGTCTGAGGTGGGATTCTTTTACACTTATATCGTGTTAAAATACTTAAATTTCATATATTTTCATATTTTATTAATCTAATTATTGAATTCCATACTATATATACACATAAATCATTCATGATAAACTTTTAATTCAACTAAAAAATATCTTACTATTTTTAATATTAATAAAAATTTAAATTATTAAATTTATAATAAAAAAAATAATGTTCCCCATCTTTAATGTGATATCGATATCAAATTAACATAAAATTTGACCTACATGACAATAATAAATAGATTAATTCAGATGTTACTTTATTATAATATTAATTATAGTAGTAAGAATTATAGAAAAATGTTTATAAACAAGTGTTATATGTAACGTCTTTAATCATGTTTACCTAGGTTGGTCATCATGGTTAAACTATATAAAAAAAAAAAAAAAAAAAAAAAAAAAACCCACTATGTTTGCTTCAATTTTCATTTTTCTTTCTTCAATGATGATCATGTTACTCGGGTGGCTAGTCGGCTTGTCATAATCGTATCCTTGAAAATGACTGAGGTTGGTCTAATTAAATTGAGCACGTTTTTTCAATAAACAGTAAGCGGAAAATCAAAAATCTAGATAGCTAGCTAATTATAGGTTGAATTGTCTTTTTTTTTTTTTTTTTAATTTGAAACTTAAATTCTGACAACGGAAACTAATAATCCATGATCACTTTGTTGATAATTCTTTTATTGGCAGTGAGATTTTTTTTTTTTTTTGTCAGTGAGATTTTATCACCTAGCTAGGTTGAATTGTCAATAATTAAGCGTAAGTATCATTCACTTATCAGTTGAGGTAAAGTTTTCTAACTTTTATATTTTCTTTTTCAAACTTGGTTGTTGAGATTGCATGCCGACAATACTTCATGGCTTTTTTGACTTCATGTTTTGTACGATACGGTGTCATCACTACTTTAACTCCTAGTAATAATTGAAACAAAAAACTAAACAATTTTATTTTTTATAAAATGTCATAGTAATTGAAATCCAATTTTACAAAAATCTATTTTTTTAAATAAAATATCATTTAAACTTATAAAATCTAAATTCGAATTGACTGCTCTTTACCATTTCTTTAGTAATGAAATTAAAATATTTATCAACTTGAAATATCTGTTTGATACCATTTCTTTTGTAATCAATGGTGGTGGATAGAAAGATCAAGTTCAACTACTTAGCAATTAGGATGCTCAAGATGTTGACCATTATGATTGTGCATGACGGCATGGTTGATAAACTATTGAATGCTTAAACAGTAAAACGGTTTCTTGTTATACTAGGATGGTGACAAGACAGGAGAGAAGTGAAAGGCAGGATGCCTAGCTAAGTGGGTCACATTTTGTTTCTCCACATTGATAAGTTCATCTACCCAAAGTGCAAAATATGCAATATATGCAGGAGTTCTTTTAGCATATACTTAATATTACTCAAAAACAATATGCTCATCTTTGCTAGAATATTTTTTCCCATTTTGAACAATTGATATTGTAAAAGATTGAATTGGAATATTGAAATTAAGAGTTTAAAATTCTTTCACTAAGGAAATTCATGTAATTTTTTTTTTTCATGAGGAAATTCATGAGAAAAAACTGAAAAGGATGGGATCTTAATCTTAAATTCTCTTGTTGAGGCTAATATTGAGTGTTTGAGATTTATGTAGTTAATTTATGTGGGATAGATTATTAAATGAATTTATATTTGATGCATTGTCAGTATATAAATTTTATACACTGTTAATGAATTGAATGAAGACATCTCATTAATAAGTAATTTTTTAAATATTAATTATTGTATATTTATTTTAAGAGTTGATATTTACTCATTAATAAAATGATATCATCTGATCTACTGATAATGTATAGAGTCTATACATTAACAGGATGTTGAATATCAAGTCTTATTAAATATGTTTAAAATGTGTTTGCAAAAGAATGATTCTAACTTCTTTCCTTTTTTTTTACTTTTTCAAATTTGACTTCATTGTTGTTAGATTACAATTTTAACTTTCTTTTAATCTTGATTTTTAATGACTTTTTCATGTAAAAATTTATTAAAGAAATCATGAAAAATCAATAGACCATATATATATATATATATATATATATATATAAATGTTTGGTGTTATAAAATGAAAAAGTAGCCTTAATTCTTGAAACTTCACAAAAAAGAAAGCTAGTTGAAATGGCATGAATACAGGCCATAGTGTCCAAGATTGGCAACCAAATTAATAAAATACAACATAACAACTTTAACCACTTATAACCTTTAGCTTAGGTACACAGCTAGTTAAATTAAGTTTGGTTCAAGTTGAACAATCAATATTGGAAAGCTGGTTTCGAGTTGCTTTGTCTAGAGGAAATTAAATTAGAGAACATTTATTATGGATTCAAGGTGTTACTGTCATGATAAATGCTCTTCACTTTTTTTTTTAATAAAAAAAAAATCATAATATGAAAATAGGAGAAGAGATTGTAAATACTAGAATTCAAAATCTGAATTTTTTAAATATTATCTTTTAAGAACGATTGCATGAATTAATTGAGATAAGCTTTAGGTTCATGCACTCCACTTTATAGTACGAATCAAGATTTTTTTATATCTCATTCTGCTATTGTTTCCCATACATCTTCCTCATAACTTAGCTAGGGATAAAAGACAAAGAACACAATTTCTGTGTTCACTTTCACTCTTTTTATCTATCTCAATATTATTTTTTATTTAAAAATTATCATGAGTACAAACATTTCATTTTTGGGGAATACAAGTATAAATGTTCTAGTAGGATTTGGTATAATAATAGATCTACCATAGAATAGTACTAAGGTAAAAAATCTAACATGAATTTATTAGCACCAGCATATCTTTCATGACTTTCCTGGTGAAATGTCCTAACAACAATTAACAGTAACTTCTTCTTAATTCCTGAAAGAAAAGATGAAATGCTTCATGCAGCTTATATATGGCTAAATGGGGATATAGAAAATACATTTAATTATCAAGCCTGACAAAGTTTAGACACTCATCATTGATCCAGCTATACTTCTCTGCGAATGGATTGACCAGGTTTTTTCTGGGGTAATGATCTATGCAATCTTCCCACACTCTTGTATCCTTCAAATCATCCTTCATTACCTCCCACACACAATTGTTGCACATGAAACCTGCTCCAAGGCTAATCATCAGAATCTTGTCACCTTTCTTGAGCCTCTTCTTAGCTTCCATGTAACTCAAAACATACCATAGGCCACCAGCTGATGTATTTCCGAATCGATAAAGTGCCATTCTAGTAGGCTCGAGATCATATTCACTAAGCGCCAAACTCTTACCAAGTCCATCAATGACTGCCCTTCCACCAGGATGGAGACAGAAGTGAGCAATCCCAGACTTGAGATTGAAACTGAAACTCAAAGATCTGGCTGCATCAGGAGTTTTTCTCTTGATCATTCTTCTTCCAAGAGTTGATATTGCATATCGAAGTAGTTCTGTCATTGGTAGTATTTTGGGCAATAGGATTTTGAGATTGCCGGTAAAAGCTTTAGCAGCGGCTTTTGTCAAGCTTTTAGTAAGCAGAAAACCCTGGTACCCTTGTTCATCTTCAAGTTGTATGCAACATCCATATGCTTCATCATCATAGCCAATATTGGTTCGTACTGCACAGTTCAACTTGAAGATGGCTCGTTCTTTCAAAGCTCTTTTGTTTGTCAAGAGAATGGAAGACCCTCCAGAGCGAAATAGGCAATTAGATAACATCATGGACTTTTCTTTTCCACAATACCAATGCGAACTTATCGATTCTGTGCTCACAACAATTGCAAATTGATTCTTGTAAGTCTTGAACAAGCGCTGCACAAGGTCAATGGCTACCATACTCGCACTACATCCCATTCCAGAGAGGTTGAAGGACTTGATGTTATCCCTCATCTTGTATCTGTTAATAATCCGAGCTGTTAACGATGGTGCTGGAGAAAACAACGATACATCAACGACGAGTATGTCGATTTCAGACGGAGACACTCCTGTTTTAGCAAAGAGTGTGTCAAGAGTATCAAACATAACCTCATCCATCTCCGAATATTCATCTTTTTCAGAAGGAAACTCTTCTCTACCTTCAATGACATTTCTAGGACCGTAAGTTTCTTCACCAAGGCCTGAACTGACAATGGTCTTTAAAAGAAACCTGTATTGTTCTAGACCAAGACTCTTGTTCCTCATCACAACTTTTACACAGGCTTCAGTGTCGAGCTTTCTGTCATCAGCAGCCTTGTAACACTCATACCCCAACATATAGCAATATTGGTTTCTCTTCTGAAAAACCATATTACAGAAGTAGGAAATGAGGCTACAAAGAAATAGGAGACATATTTTCATTAAAAACTCCATTGAGAGACTAGAGAGTGGTGTTGGGGGTGGTGAGTTTAACTATAAAGTGAAGATCTGTGGAACTGTTTTTCTCTGCTTTTCTTTATCGAAATTGAGAGTAATACTAGTTGGCATGCTCTATATGGGTTGAATACATGTTTATTTATAGTCCCCTTGGTTTAATCAATATTGCATCTTCATACCTAGATTACAGTTAGAAGTTAAAAATATTACAAACTTCAAAAAAATGATAGCCCAACATGTTCATACATAAATTGCACCTCATAATATTGTTATTCCTACAGGGGGAAAGAAAGGGACATTTTTTAAATGTTCGTGACTTTTTTTTATGCAAAAGAAATCGTTGCCTAAAAATAAAGAAAAGGATTATAAGTTTTTTGTATAAAGAAAACCAGAAATTGAGAATATAATTTGGTATGAAGAAAACTGTAATATGAAAATAAAAAAAAATTATAAGTGTTAAAATTTAAATATAAAATTATTAAATATCATTTTTTTTAAAGATAATTGTATATATAAATCAATTGTATTGAATTTTAGTTTCAAATCTGGATTTTTTATATGCAACTTTATTCACGTCAAGGTGTTTCGTGTGCTGAAAGGATCGTTCGTTTGTTTGTTTGTTTTTTTTGCTAAATCAGGAATTTTTTATTTAATAAAGAGTCAAAGATATCAGATAAGACACCATACACAGCTAACACATCACACCCCTAATTACAAGGCCCCTAATAGCGAACACAGACTCCAACGCCTCAGAAAACAACTCCTGTTACCATCGGGATTTAAAAAAATTCAGCCTAGTCCACTCCATTTTTAGCCAAAAGTCCGCCATCCTGAAAGGATCGTTTGTGCAATTATATAGTAGATAAGGAAGGAAATGTCAAAGATATATGGTTCATCTTCATATATAATAGGATAACTATGTCTTCAATTTTAAAAATGTAGTTAGATGTTAAGCTTTCAAAACTTCAATTTCAAAGGCTAGAGATAGAAGGGGTTGGCTGAAGCTATATCTATCCATTTTCGTTAATTTATTAGTGATATTAATTTAGACTACTTTTACAACTGAAGAGATACAATAAAGACAAATCAATTAAATTAAATCATCATTTCGCAAAGGATGACGAAAAATATACGCAAAGAAAAAAAACCTTAATTGATAAGCTAATCTCAACAGGTGTAATTATCCCTCCTTGTAAGTCTAGATTTGGTTATGAAAAATTTGTCAAAAAATCAGCGCATAGTAGAAATGAATAATTATGTAGACACAAACATTTAGCCAGGTTTCCATGCATTTTGTACAGTTAATTAGGTTGATTGTAAGCTTCAAAATTATATCATATACTGTAAAAGAAAAAATCCATCGAGGGTTTTTCAATTAGTCTAATTTAAAACGTCTAAGGGGATCGAAAAATGTCAAACTAGAGCAGAAATTGCTTTATTTGCTGATGTACTCTTGGGATAGTTATCTTTTTATACAAGCCACTACTTAATTAATTTCTCTTTCATTAAACTCTTGTGTGATTGTAGATATCAGAAACAATTTTTTATGACAGCTTGTACATAAATGATTTATTGAAAAAAAAAAAAGCTTATTTGAATTTAATCCATTAAAATTAAAAAAAATTTTCTTTCACAACCAATGAAGCTTTTTAGTCTCCACAAATAAGATTAGAAACTAAGGAGAGAGACACGCACTCTTTAGATTATATTAAATTAAATAAAAAATAATTAAAAAAATATATGTCAATATTTTAATTCGTTTATAAAATTAAAAAATTTTATTGGTAACATGTAAAAAACGAACTCTTAAAATTACCATGGTCGAAATTCAATTTAGTTTACCAAAGTCATCTTTCCATAGTTTCTTGGGCCAAAAATCTCCTCAATCAGTGCTTTGGCTTAATTCCCATACTCCCAATTCTCCCTTCTGCCAAGTGGCTAATAGTATCAAAGATCACTTCAACTCTCCTTTCTACATCATTGAATTGTCATCTTCTTCAAGAAAAAGATATTTCTAACCCTCAAATTTTGATTGTTTGCAAAGAGATTGATCGGTAAATTACGATTATTCCATTACTTAATTTCTTCAAAAGTACAAATATATATATATATATATTCTTTCTTATTTACTTTATATATTTATTTATATTTTTTAACTTTTACATTAAAAATTATCGAACATCAATATCATAAAAATTTTCAGAATTTTAATACTTTTTTCTCTTAATTTCCATGCTAAACTCAAACATGCATGAACTTACAAATTAAATGGGAAGGAGAAGTATCATTTTCATACCAATCACAATTTAATAAAAACTAATTTTGTCATCGTTTGATTTGAAACTCAGCTAACTCATCTACTTTGACAATCCTAAGTCAAAATTTCTTATTCGTTCATTATCCCATGCATAATTATGGTCAATAGTCCCATCCATGTAATTTGGTCCAATAAAGTTTAATTTCAACCTAAAACTAATGAGAACTTCAAAAAAAAAAAAAAGGGTTCTCTTTATAGTTATTTTAATGACTTTTAACTAAATCATGTTAAGCCCCCATTGTATATCATGCAATCACTTTCCTTCTTTTATTGTTTGTCGAAGGCAGCATTAATTTGTCAACAATCACGTGAATTAGTAAAATGTTTAACTCTTAATGTTAATAATTAAAATTTTAATCCAGAAAATTTTAAATATAAAAATATCATTAATTTGTCAACTGTTATAATAATGACTACTCAACAACTTCAATTACGTCAGTCCACATGTAATATGTCGTACAGTCATTTTCTTTCTTTATGTTTAAAGATTTTTTTGTCATTTTCTCTTTTTCTTTTTATATGGAAAAATATTACTTGTTTTTGCTATGTTACTCCCAAATTATATAATTTTTTTTCTTTTCTTAATTTCCCAAAATATTTCATTTTTTAAAAAATTAATACTTCTATTTTTTATTTTAATCTTTTATAATTTTTTAACTTTTTTATATAACAAATTAAGTACAAAACATCAACCTATGATAAATATCATATTTTGTCTAGGGTTTAAAATTTAGTTTTATTTTATTTATAGTTTATTTATCTTTTCAGTTTAATAAAAAAATATTTAGTTGTGAGAAAAATGGGTATTATTAGAATTAGAGTTTAATTTAATCTGTAAAGGATAAATTTTAGTTTCATGATAATACAAAAATCTGATCAAAGATGAAATCATAATCAATTAAAAACTCTTCTAAGTGTTCTTATAAATTAATCAATGAATCAACGGAGGGGGATACAACGATAGAGAACAAAATCAAGGAGGTTTGTGAATAACAAAGAAAAAAACTCTTTCTGGCAGTGAGGTTTGAAAGGATTTTGTCCTTTAAAACGTGTGATTTGTGAGAAATTGGGGTTGTAAAAGGATTCAGGAAGTTCCAAAAATACAAATCAGTGATTCTGAAAATTTATGCAAATTTTTGGAAAATATTTTGAATTTTTTGACCAAACTTTGAATTTTTCAGTGGGCTTTGAAGTTCTTGGTACCTTTTCGATCGTATTTCTAGAAATTGTAATGATTTTCAGAAGCCAGCAAGGATTTTCAGAAAATATCCTAGAGTTCACATAAAGTAAAGAGAGGGAGAGAAAAAAATGTAGAGAGAAAGCGAATGGAAATCTGAAGAGAATAACAAAAATTTTGGACTTTTATAGTCTTTCAAAATAACATCATTTTAAGTTTGCAAAAGTTTTAAAGATCTGTGTGTTTCCATTTGGTAGACCCGACCCACACGCGACCCAAACTTGTGACCTGTCCAAGTTGCCAGTTTTGAGCTGGACCAACAACTGAGCTAAGTTGCCTCTTAAGCCACTTCAGCCAATTCTTGTGCCTATAATCAAGTTGTGATACCAGCCAAGTCGATTTTTTTTTTTGTATTTTCTTTTCATTTTTATTTATTTATTATTATTTTAATTAATTAATTTATTTATTTATTTGCTTTTATTTTTGAAATAGCTTGCATGATTGGATTTTAGGAAAAGTTAGAAGAAATAATTAAAAATAAAAATTTGATAAGATTTTGATAATAAGCAATAATTATCCAATAATGAAATTTTTGGAGATTACAAATGGTTAATTTTAAAAATTTCTAGGTGAAATTTTTTTTTTAAGTTTGACCCAAATGAAGGAAAAATTTAGATAAAGTTTCAATAACAATAATTAATATTTATTTTCAATTTAAAAAATAAAAATAATAAATAATAAATTAATAAATTTTGGAATTAAATTAACAATTATCTAATGATAAGATTCTTAGAAATTTCAAATGAAAAATTTTTTTAAAAAACTTTAGGCTTTTTTTTTTCTAAATGAGGCCCAAATGGTGAAAAATTTAGAAATAAAACTTGTAAAATAAAAAATAAATTTCGATGATGAAATCTTAGTAGTCACATATTGATAATTATCTAATAAATTTCTAGGTGAGAAGATAATTCTAATTTTAGCCCAAATGGTGGAAGAATTATATATATTTTCAATAAAAACAAAAATAAAAAATGACTAAATCTTTTTTCCGATGACGAAGCCTCTTCAAGAAAATAAATGAAATTCTTGAATACTCTTAAGGTAAGAAAGTATTTTTAAAAATTCTACCAAATTGATGAAAAAATCTTAGAAGTCATTTCTAATAATTAAACATTAAAATAAAGACAATTAAAACCAAGATAATTGTTAAGATAATTTAAAATTAAATGGTACCATATTAGGATGGGTGTTATCAGAGTGCTATAATCTTCTCACATAATCGAACTCCCGAATCTAGTTTTGCTCAGAAGGTCATAACATATTCTTTATAAACCCTTAGTCAAACTTAGGAGCTCTTTAAAAGGATAAATTCACTAGGTGACTAATCACACCTTAATAAAATATTGGTGGTGACTTCTTAGGTTGTGTCTAATTATAGATTTTCAAATCTATATGTTATGATAGTTTGACGACTTCACTAGAGACACTGAGAGTCAGGCCATTAATTAATTTTATATTATCTTAATTTTTTGGTTTGGTCTTGAATTATTGATCTTTTTGTTTGCATTTATTTTCATTCTTTTATTCTTTGACTTGGCTTGTGAAAATTACGAATAAAGATATATATATTTTCACACACACATCACATACATATGTATCATATGAGCTCTATACTCGAACTCTGTCTTCCTTAAAAGGGAGTAAAGTATCAATGCT